GGTCCTAACTCTTAGGAACTGGCCAATAATCCAAAACCCAAAAAAAAAATATTTTGAATGAATAAACTAAAATTATAATGTTTTATAGACACAGACGACGCTAGTGAAACGGAATTTAGGAATAACAGCCGTAGCAGCAACGCTACGAACACAACAAACGGAGGCAGCAATCACGAACTAAAAGAGCAGTATGTCATATAATATAAAGGGTGCTACTTATAAGCTAATCGAAATATCAACAAATCGCGTTTTCTCCTTATTCATTTGTATAGAGTGTATCAGCACAAATTAGCCATATTGAACAAACAACGCGAAGAACTGAAACAACTCATACATCCCGACTACGTGAAACGTTCCAAAAAGCTCGAATATCAGTATAAAGAACGTCTGCGACTCAATGAGATCCACAGAGAATATTTAAAGGAGTGTGTGGAGNAACAACGCGAAGAACTGAAACAACTCATACATCCCGACTACGTGAAACGTTCCAAAAAGCTCGAATATCAGTATAAAGAACGTCTGCGACTCAATGAGATCCACAGAGAATATTTAAAGGAGTGTGTGGAGAAAGACTATCAAACCGAACGACGGGCCGCACAGAAGGAGTATGAGGAAAAAAAGGTATGTGGAATTTTATGAAGGACGTTATAGTATGATGCACTTTCCCAATAACTTATGCGGAATGTTATAATTCTAAATCAATTTACCAATTGTAGATTGACTTAAAGGACAACATTCTTGCAGACTTAGAAGAAAGGAAAAAGCTAATCGAAAATGAGAGATACAATCTAGAGCTAACAAATGACTCAATGGAAATAAAACCAACTGTTACACGTAAATTACGTCGGCGCCCGAATGAGCCAGTACCAGTCGTCGAAAAGCGACGGAAGCCTACAACTGGTCAATTACTTGTATACTTGCTGGACGATAAAGAAATCGAAAGTGACATGAAAACTATACAGCGAGGCAAGCCATTAGCTCCAAGTAAGCGTTTAAATACGCTTATAAACAATATGCTACATTTTATTATATTTGATGAATTTTTCTTAAATATTTGCAGCAGCACAACAAAATGGTATTGGTGGAACTCCATTTAGCAATCTTCAACACGGAGGAATGCTCTCCGAGAACACAAATTCAAACATCAGTCCTAGCATTGAGACAAGAATTGAAGACGGCAAACTACTGTATCAGCGACGGTGGTTTCACAGAGGTCAACAGGTTTATGTTGAAGGAAAAGATTTAGCTAAATTCGCAGCAACAATAACTGCCATCGGCAACGAAGTGGTAAGCTTTATAGAAAAATTTTTAATGTTAATTTATTTAAGACTTCTTTTTTCTCTCTTGTAGGTGTGGGTCAAAAAAACCAATGACAGCAAGGTTAAAATTAATATGTCGCATTTAGCTAAGGGAAAAGTTACAATTAAACGGCGCGCCAACTGATCCAACGCCAAATGCGGCACTGGTAGCTGCACTTCTAACAAATCCGGCGCCGCTTCCCCTATGGTAACTACAACAACTTAGTTTTATAGTTGTTTATAAATTTAATAAATATGTAATTTATTCGCGTGTAATTATAGCTTTAGTATTTTATGTTTAAATATTAATGTATGTATGCAATAACTAATTTATTGTTCCACCAATAAGAATTTTAAGAGGAAACAATCGAATGTGTAATACTTATAAATGCAAAATTTTCAACAAACATTGCACAATTAAATTGTTATGATACTTTGTAACATTATTCATACTACAATATATTTTATGAGACAAATTTCAGGTAAGAGTGGCTGCATTTAGTAATGAAATGGAGTTAAATGAAATCGGTCAAATAAAATGTTGTATGTATATACATATATGTATATCATGGCTTAAACATTGAAATTTCAAAATATCGTGTCATGTTAACGCCTTTACCTACAGATTTAAAAGAAATAATTTTTCAACCTCTTTTACAAGGCTCGACTGAAATTTTAAAATTATTTTAAAAGTTTCATCGACTAAAATGTGAATTAAAACTCTAATTCAATCAATTTACATAACTTTTTAAAGCTTAGATTAACTGCTGTTTTTCTTTCAAATCTGGAAGTCGCTCGTGCGTTTCTTAGGTTTATTTTCGTCAAAGCACGGGCAAATAACTACCAAGCAACCATGGAGGCCAGGCATGTTTCTTTAGTTTTTAGCTAAATTCATAAATTCTGCACAAATTATTTCATTTATCTCTTCTACGCCTGGAATATCAGGCATAACCCAAGTTTCGTCTGTACTAAGAAGTGTCTCTGAACAAATAGGACACGTTTTATTATTGACATTCCTAGAAGAGTTCAAACGGGTTAAATCATTTTACGCAAATACTATGTCATTTACAAACCATTGTTCAATGCAAGGCGTACAAAAGCTATGCGTACATGGCAATATGACTTCTGTACGCCTATCTAAACAGATTGAGCACTCGTCAACGTGTTCAGAATGCGAACATGAGGTCGGACTGTTGAGGCCACTTGAAGTTTCGCTGCTAGAGGTACGACCATTGTTTACAAGCGAGTTCACTTTCTCCATAAGAAGTGAGGCTGTTACAAAGTTGCGGCCATCTGTCGCAGTTGCGCCTGATGTCTCATCATCGTTGGGTGTTTGGGAAAGAGAGCTACGGCGTGAATCCTAACGAATGTAACGAAAATCCAAGCAATTAAATAAAATATACAAAACTTGAGGAAAAACATTGCATTTAGTTACCTGTTGATTTTCGCTCGACACTAAACTTTCCAAATGGGATTGAAATGTTCGAAATACGCATAGGAATTGTTTCAAGTTCAAAAATTTATAGCTATCGATTTTTCGCGTAGCCGGATCGACTTTGATGCATGCGATTTTAACTGTGGCTTTCCACAACAGAGAGGTATCAGTGCCCCGTTTCACAAGGAATACGAGTTGTTTGCCATTTGGATCAATGCACTTGCGGGATCTAGAAACAACGATTTGCTAATGTTTAGTTGAAAATTAAGTAAAGGGTCTTACAGCTCATTCAAGCTATCCAAGCAAGCTTTGAAATCCTCGTAGCTTAAAGAATTGATTTCAGAAAGTACTTTGGCGTGGCGAACCACCTGCATATGTACGGCGTCCACGGTATCCGGAATAGTACTATCGCTAATTGATTGCACTTGTCCCATCACTCCAAATTGGTGGTATTTAAAGAAATTAAATTGTTTTTCACACTGTATTCTGTTTATTCGGATTTCATAATAAATGTTAGCAGATATTTTTCCTTTTCACTGATTTTTGCACAACTGATTCGATATTTATTGCCAATAAACACCCGCTCGAAGAAAAATTTGCGAGATTTCCAAAGAAATAAAGGAAAGTTTGACACTTGTGTTGTTGCAACCGAAGCGTAGCGCACCAGTGATAAGGTAGATTTTTGAAGTAAAAAAATGCCAGTTATCGTCGACCTATTGAAAGCGCTACAAAACACATCGCACGATTTTTACTTTCCTTTATCACAGATGCATTATTTCTCACATTAATGTAATTTAGTTTCGAATAGTATTTATTTTGTAAATAATTAATCGATCTGTATTCATTAGGTAGTGAAATAATTATGCCTGTTGATGTATACATACATATGTATGTATATATTCGTATGTGTCAAATTATTTAAGTTTTTTCTACAAATATTCTCGCCTTATTAAAAACCAATAACTTAGTAAGTGGATTAGGCTTTAATAGGCGAAGTGCGTGTCCCAAGACAGCTGTTCATAAAAAAACATCAAATGATTGCGAACAATTTCGAGTTAAGAGGATCTGATTGCCACTGCAACAACCAACCTTGCCTAAAACTTTTGGTATTTTTACGCTGTTACTACAACTGGGGCACTTTTCTAAAAAATGATTGCGTCCTTTTTAGTTTTAGTAGTGCCGCAAGTTAATACCAACCATACAACGATTCACATCACTATTGCACTTATTCAAAACACTCAATTTCCGTGATATCTTTTTATTTCTTTTAAAATAAAAAATTTCGTAGGCAACATCATTTTACAACTAAATAAGGTGCGACATGAGCAATGTCATCCTCTATCCACTTTTTATTGAGGGCGTGTACCACGGCCGAAACCGCCACGGAAATCAACATCGGCAGCACCTGGGCCAGCATCACCTTTCTTGTCAGGTCCACCGGGCGCACGTCTGTAGGATGTACGGTCTTCGCCGGTCTTGGAAGAGTCGCCTGTGCGAGCAGATGCCGCTGGCCGGGGACGCATTGTCTCAGAGCGCGCAGGGCGTTTCAATGTGGCTGGCACAATTTCTGGGGGCAAATGCAGATAGCTGCGTAGGTACTCAATACCTTCGTTGGTCAAATACCAGTAGTAATGTCTCCAGGCGAATTGCTCCTTCACCAGACCACGCGAGTGCAATGACTGCAATGTTTTGATTACATGTAAGTTAGGAATAAGCTCCAGCTCGGGGTGCTTGGGTGCGTGGAAATCTTTTTTGGCAACGATGACACCCTCTTTGAAGAGGTACTCGTAAATAGCGACACGATGAGCCTTTGGCATAAACATCCTGAAATGTGCACAGAAAGAAAACAGGTATTAAATAATATATC